TAAGCAATATATAGAAAGAGACTATATATGCTTTGGAGAGTGCGCATCAACCAAATCTTATTAAAATTCAGTTTTACTATTTCTTACAATTTTTAGAATTATGCAATTAGTTGCTTTCATACCGACCATGCCTATTTTTAGGACTGCAATTACGAAGGTCGAAACTATACAATATCAAAAATGCCACGCAAGCAGAAGAACAGAGAGAAAGGCCTTAACTGGCAGTGCCTCTCGCGATAATTGGGGAGAGGACAATTTCCATCTCTATCTCATGTCGGCTATCTTAAATGAAAGATAACAAAAGCCAAGGATAAAAAAGCGTATATTTTTATATGTCTCTGCATATTGGGCCATTAAGTCATGTTTGTGATTCCGAAAGTAAACGCTATTAAGACATCCTTCTGATTGAGATTTGAATCAAACTTATTTTCATTATATTGCTTGGGTTTTGTCCTTGTTTGCGAATTACAACACATGCACAATTGTACAGCGTGCGGAGATTGTTGAAACTTATTAAAAAAACAATGAACCCACGGCTACGCTTCGTGTATGTGTAACGAAATTCATATTTGCTTAAATGATTTTAGAAATAAGGCTTATTGGCCCCTTAGTGCAAAGAAAACACATCTGACGTTCCTGAAGTCGGTTTATCTATACAAAAATACGCTTTGGGTGCGGTTTGTGGTCATTTTTCATCAATGCAGTTAATCTCAATGGAAAACGTTCGCGTAACATGATAATAAATTTTTTGTCGCGTGATTCCCGGAATGATTCCCTTTTGGAGCATACGTACTTTCTCTATTGAACTTTTTCTTTGAGGTTATGTTGGAGCATTCGATTTTTCACCTTTTTGGCGAAATTTTTATTGTAAAGTAAGAGAAAAAAAAAAAAACACTTATTTAATGATTGTCATCTTATATCTAAGGCAGAGATTTATCTCCAGTATCAAGATAAGTCAATTCGGTATTTAAATCCGCTTAAAGCACTCGATTGGTTTCAATATTATCCTCAAATTTTTCCATCTTGCCAAAAAGGAAGCTGTGGACAAGCGGGATCCTGCATCGAAATTCTTGTATCAATTTCAACATTTTAGCGGAAAATAGGCTTCATGAGTCCATCGACGTATCTAGAGAAGCCCTGTTAGGATAATTATCGTGAAGTGGTCAGTATTCCTTTTATGGGATAGTGACGCTCTATATAATATGTAATATATTTTATGATAAAAGCTGTTGGGGTAAGATCGACGGTTACATAGTCTGCTTATTTAAATTTCGTGTTTTATTTTTCTAATAAAATACCAAAAATTACATATTGTTTTCGTATAATGGCATACTTTTTAAAGGGGAAGGGCGAAAGTGTAAACCCTGTACGTGGACCTGATCCAAATTTACAAAAATTACTTCTTCTTCCCAAAAATCTTATTATTCTTCACTTACTTACGGTTCATTGATATGAGAAGGCTTACGTTTCACGGAATCTCTTTTCAAAAATTTGACTTACCTGGTCCAAGTCTTTTGTAAATAATTTTTATATATATTAAATTGCTACTGTGGAGTAATTTTTCGTATAAATGATAAGAAATTTAACCTTTTTGCCGTAAAAAGGCTTACTTTTCGTAGGAACAGCTGTAAGTGAGATGATGCTACAAGGGATCCATAGAATTTGAATTTTTCAGATTAAATTTTTCACATCAGTGATTGATTAAAGTTTCCATATCTTGCATTGAATCTATTTAAAAGATCTTAAAAATAAAAACCCAAAGTACATGAACCTATAGATATTAGACAGATAAATGGAAAGACGAAAGTCATACAGTCATGTAAACAGAAAGATAAATAAACAGAAAGATGAACAGAGCGGCCGATGGAAAAGCTGACAGAAATTCAGACAGACAGACAGGCAGACGAGCTGAGAAAAGTAAATTCATAAAGATTCCGATTCAATGTATGTGTAATCAAGTATGCGTCCATCGTCAGCCCTTCTAAGTACAATAAACAGCGATCGTCGACCTGCGGACGCCGGCAAAGAAAGATTCAAGAAATATACGTTTCAAGCCTGGAGTTTCAATTTTGATCAGGTCTCTTCTTTTACCTATAATTTGCGATACTTGTGCCATCCACCTGGGCAGAGAAAGAGAAAGAGAAAGAGAAAGAGAGAAAGAGAGAAAGAGAGAGAGAGAGAGATGGAGATGAGCGAAAGAGTTCAATTTCTCGTAGGCGATCATACGGGGCCTTACAGAGCACGAACGAATACTAAAACTCGGCAAATTGATATGCAAACATATTTATTCTAATCCTTTTAGTACGTTTATGCCAATCGATGTATTCCCTCAATTATTTAATACAAACAACTCGGCTTTCGTTCTCATCTGTCCCCTCGAAAGTTCAACTCGATGTTACTTAGTCCGTCCCTATCGTATTGCTATTTATTCGAGAATGCAAATTTTCGCCAAAACTTGATAGATTGATTGATTTGTGATTGAAATACATTGTCATTGTTTGTAGCGCCAAATAGAAAGTGTTAATTATTCACATATACAAAAAGATATGAAAGCGAAAATATGTAAAAAGCATGAAAATAATTGCAATAAAAGGCGGTTAATACGATTTTATTAAATTACTTTTATTTAATATATATATATATATATATATATATAGTATTTTTCAGATTGATGTTCGTGTTTTAGTATTATTCTGTTGTTTTTTTTTTTTCCTTTTCCTTTTTGTTCCTCTTATTTTTCTGTTTTGTTTATTTTATGTTTTTTTCTTTTTCATATCAGCGGGAAGGGCTTTCGTGGTGTGTGAGGATTGATATTAATTACGTTTTAATATTAATAATTATTTGTTTATTTTGCTTATGAACTTGTGCGTGTGTGAATACATGTAAGAAATTTATTTAATTATTTCAATGAACGAGTAAATTAAACAGATTTCATAAATAAATTATTAAATATTTTTTTAATTCTTTTCAAATAATTGGCATCATAAAAAATTGAACATATATATATATATACATACATATATATATATATATATATATATATATATATATATACATATACAAACACTATGTCTATTAATTGCTCGAGCATACGTATTAAATTCATTCTGAAATGATTCTCAGCAAAATAAGATCAACTCTTATGCAAACATTTTTTTAGCTTAGTAAGAGATTCTTGATTTATTAGCGAACAATTTTCTTATCGTTTTTATTTTCATTGTGCAGAAAAAAAAAAAAAAACAAAGAAAAAACGAAAAAAAAGAAAATGTTTCTAACGCTTCTAAAGACAACGCTTACAGTCAGGAAAAGAGGTTGACAATAATTAAAAAAAAAAAAGGAGAAGAAAGATGTCTTAACAATGACTCCAATAATAACTATAATAAGAATGACAATTAAACGAACAATAATTAATAACATGAATAAGAATATAAATAATAATATTAATTATAATAACGATAATAATAATAATAATAATTTTAATTATAATAAGCAATGAAGAAAGCTAAACTGAAAGCTATGCTGGGCGGTGCGGGAAATGAAGGAAAAAATTAGATTCGGATTTGAGAAAAGATCAGCTACGATACTCAAAACCACGCTCAACTAATGTAAACAAATGTAAAGCAATCAATACTTGCACTATACCAGTATATGCCTACTTGTTGGGATTAGTGAAATGGAAGTGGCGCGCACCTATATGAAGCGAGCAGGACAAGAAGAATCTCCATGTAAAAGTACAATGTGCCAATGAAAGAATCAATCTACGACGCCAGCTTGCCGAGCAGAGGTTAGCGTACCTACCGGGCTTATATGTCACAAATTGACGAACACATTTTAGATCGCCAAGAGAATGAATGCCCTATCACAGATATGTTGATGAAATTAGACAAAATTAGTAGCAGTAGCCACATGAGGGGAAGCAAATACAATTAGACGGAAACCATGCGAATAAGGTGAACAAAGATACAATAGACCTGCAACAATGCAGCATTTATGTAACAGACAACAATCAAGAAAGCATCAGAAGAATATTACAGAAAAGCTGAGATCAATTCCTTTGGTTTAATATATCCGAGAATGGGGTGAATCTTCAGTCCCGATAGCCGAGGAATGTAGAAACCCAATAATAATTAAAATAATAATAATCATCTTCATAAATATATTAAAATGAATAATGGTAGCAAGAACAATAATAATAATAAAAATAATAATAATATTGATAACTAATACTATTAGTAATAATAATAATTATAATAATAATAAGGATAATAATAATAATAATAAGGAAAAGGAAAATTACTTGGTTAATGAAAAATTCTTGGTCGTAAGACAATGCGCATGGATGGCGTAGCTGAACGTAAGTGCACAGCTCAACATCTCAAATCTTAATTTATTAAATACTTCGAATCGATCAACACCCTCCCTATCTCTCTCTCTCTCTCTCTGCGCCCAATACATATTGTAAAGCATCAGCTTACAAAGTGATGAAAGTATCTTGAGATTTTTCATAATTTTCGACGCATTAGCGGATTATATTCTCGCTAGCGAACATCAATTAAAAATTCATTCATTAAATTATCGACAGGGACTAAAAGGCAAACTAATATTTCTCGAATCAATCAACGGAGGCTATCAACATTTCACGCTAAGCCGGATGGTTCTTAGGTAGGCTTCGTGAAGTCAGTTGAAGTGGAGAAGCGTTGCTTGATTTCATCCTAAATTCATTATCCGATTCCGATCGTTCTGATCCGTTCTGATTATACGCTCTATTCAAATAAAATTTAAATGAATTAATTTTAAAATTTTTTTTTTTTTTTTTTTTTTTTTTTTTATCATCATTTCTTCCTATATTTGTAATGTTCGCGCTTTTCTTTCGATTTTAAATTTCATCAAACATTTCATATTTCATTTAATTTGTCTTAATTTGAACTATTTTTAAAACTTAATTAATAAATAATTTTTTTTTTTTTCTTTCTTTTGCTTTTTTTTTTATTAAAATTCTATTTTAATATTTGGCATTTTGGTTTTTTTTTAATTCATTTTTTCTTTACGTGTGTTATTATCTGCGTACTTCTGCGTTCTTGTTTTGCAAATATTTCGTAAACTTCTTTCAGTATTTAGCATGTAAACACGTAATGTAAACTCGCTCGCTGATCTCCGGTATACTTTGAAAATTGACATACCAGTTTTATTAGCGGCATTTACGTCCCGCTCTCATCATCAAATATTTCTAAATATTATGCGTTTCTTACTAAATTTTCTGTTGGTTTTTTTTTTTTTTTTTTTTTATTTTCATTTATTCATTTATTTTTTTTATATTTTTGTTTTTTTTTTGGTCTGCTTTGTTGTTATAATTCAAGTAGTTTACCAAAATATTGGAAAAAAATTGTGCATTAAATTTCTTTTTATCTCTTTACTGAATATTCGTTTGGTACATCGTATATGATTTACCTTTATTTACCCTAAAATCTTTTTAATGTAACTCATCGTCTCCGGCTTGGTTAGCGAACGTCGCCGATTAGGTTTATATGGCTCTTCAGTGGTTACTTTTAGAAAATTACGTGTTGTTTGCGTGACATTGATGTCTACAGGGTGCGTTGAATGTGTCGTAATGCTGGTGTTGGGAACGACGTTAGTCGTGGTATTGTTGATGGCGTTGCTAGTGGTGGGGGTGATGGCGGTCGTGGTGGTAGTGATGGCGGTGATGGTGGTGGTGGTGATGGTGGTGGGGGTTGTGGTCGTGGTGGGTTGATGTTTGTTAGAAGTTGAAATGTTTTCTTCTTCTGGTTTCTCGTTTACCTTTGCAATTTCTATGTTAAGCGTTATTGGTTCTTTGTTGTTATTCACTGTTGTTGTCATCTTTGTAGGAAATGTTGTGTGTTCCATAGTTTTTACAATTGTTTCCTTTTGCTTTACTTTTTGCTGTTCTTGTTCCTGTTCTTCTTGTTGCTCTTGTTCTTGTTCCTGTTCTTGTTCTGATTTTTGTTTTTTATTTTCATCTTTTTCTTCTACATTTTGTACGGAAATTTCAGTTTGTACGTTTTGTGTTTCCGCAGCATATATGGCTACTTTTGGCTTTTCTGTTGTCGCTCTATCCGTCATTCCGTTTGCGTGTTCAATTGTTTGTGTGTAACTTATCGTTTTGGTAGTTATTAATGCTTGTTCTTTTTGATCCGGTTTTTGTTTACTGTTTAACGCCAACATTGCTGTTTTTACTCGTTTCTCTTCTGCCATTTCTCGTTTTTTTTTTTTCATCGTCTTCTTCTTCTACTTCTTTTTCTTCTTCTTGTTCCTCTATTTCTTTCTGCTCTTTTTTTGCGAGTGCTTCTTCAATATTTGTAGCATTTTTTGCAACCAAATCATGCATCTTTTCTGTGGTCAATGCGGATTTAGTTGTCTCTACTACAATTTTCTCTTCATTGTTTTTTTTGTTGGTCTTGTATAGCAATGACAGCTGTATCCATAGTGTTAGTGTCATCGTTTTGTTGTTCAACAACAGCAACATTTCTGGATATAGTTTGAATTTTCTGTGTAGTCGGATTAATGATGGTTGTCTGTAAAGTTGTATAAAGTTTTGTTTCATCGGTAGTAGCTAAAGGTTGCTTAGTGGTACTGTAATCAATTCTAATACTGTTGCTATTGTTGTTTGGTTTATTTCTATTAGTTTCCTGTTCCGTTACCGCTTTTATGGTACTTTCTTCTATATCTCTATATTTTTCACTAACAATTAGTTTTGCTGTGTCATCTAAAGTTTTTAAAGTTGTGCCTTCCATTTCTATTATGATGCCAGGGCTGGCAGTTTGCTCAACTTTCTCTACAGGTTCCGTATGGTATTCAAGCGTTCGATGTTCGCCATGGCCGACATGTTTACTGGTTGGCACATAATGAGATTTCACCAACAGCATGGGTGGTATAAAGTGTGAATTGTCTGCTGTTTCTTTCGTATGCGGCAAACGAGGAGGTGACTCAGTAAAAACATTACTATGCGGTTGCTGAGGGTGTATGGGATGACTTATGGTGGCAGCAGCTGCAGCAATAGATGGTATTACAATTGTAGTAGAGTGCATTTGTGTGAAGGGCTTAGGTGTTGTTAAGTTGTTAACGGTAGTGGAACTTTTATCTGTATTAAGATTTATATCTGTTGTGGTAATCAAAGACGCTGTTGCCGCTGTAGTGGTAGCAGTAGCCGTGTTAGCGGTAATGGTTGCTGCTGTGCTGCTTGTTGCAATAATTTTCCTCTCGAATTTTAATTTCAAAAGCTTTTCATTTTGCTTTTCATCGCCTTTATGCAATTTTTCTTTCATTAATTCAATGGTATGCAAGGTTTGCGCTGTTGGTACAGTTAACACTTTTTTAGAGTGAGGTAAATGCTCCATTATCTCATTGGATACGACATCTTCTAAAATGTGCTCAGCAATTTCCGGTTCACCTCGCTGAGCCGATATGGGCTGATCGCCTAACATCATTTCCTCCATCTTTAGAATTTCCTCCTTTTTCTCATTTTCCAATAGCTGTTGCTTAGTTAAATCTTTCTTCGTGAATTCCGTTAATTTCTTACCCGATTTTTTCACTGGCTTTGCTATGGGCCCTTGCAATTTATAGAAATTATTAATAGTTTCCATCTGTGATGGTTGCTCATCCGCTTGCATTAGCTCATCAACATTAAATTGTTCAATTAGTTTTTGAACTGTATTCTGTTCGGTTTGCACCTGATCCGTATATGAATTTGCATTAACCGAACCATAGTTGCCGTCTATGGGTAACAATTCGATATTGTTATTCTCGTTATTATCAGTTGGTATACTGTTAATGATTTGCATTGACTTGAAGTGAGAGTTTGTTATATCATTAATGCGTTGCGCCTCTAAACGTTCGCGTGGGCATATTAAGCTCTGTAGGGCTTGTTCTCGATCCTATTTAAATAAAATATTTAAATGAAATGAAGTTTTTCTCTTTTTTTTTTTTTTTTCTTTTTGGAAACTAACATAAATGGAATTGCAATTGCATACAATTTGTACTTCGTATTACCTGTTTGCCTTTACACGCTGTCCGTAGTAGACCTTCCTCTTGGCAATTTCTTATCAATTCTATGCTGGCCGTATCTGCCATATATTGCATGGTTAAATTTGGCATATCCTTCAAAATGCAAGCATCTGCCCAGCTGGGCACTAAAGTGTTATTGAAAAATAAACAAAACGAAAGAAAAGAAGTGAAAATAAACTTTAAAAAATTAATTAAAAATTCGTTGAAAAATTTTTTTTTTAATTTTTTTTTTTTTTTTTTTTTTTTTGCAATGAAGTCATGAAAAATTATTTCATATTTAATTTCAATTTATTTGAAAGTGATTTTTCGTACCTGGCATTTCACATAGGAACGAAGCTGTTTCCGGGCCACCACAACGCAATGCGTGCCAACGATAATCTCGTATAGGATCAATAACTGCGCAGAGCGGTGCATCCATTAAAGGCAAAGATTCAGCCCAATAGCCAGTATTAGTTACAAGTGGTCGTGAATTACTAAAGTATTTTTATATGCAAAAAAAGTAAAACAGAAAATATGGAATAGAATGGAAAGGCAGTTAAGTTATAGTTTATTGAATAGGATTAAACGAACCATCCATCATCTGCGTCCAAAACGTGTCAACGCGTATCTTGAAATTTGAACACATTGCGAATAGAATAAATAAATTTAAAAAAAATAAAGCAAGTAAGAAAGTTATATTCGGCAGGGGACGAACCTTGCCACTCGCTTACCCGTCACTATGCTTTTCGCATTCTAAACCCGAAATGCTTCTCTTTGATACCCATATCGCTGGTATTATTAAGAAAAAATTAATCGCAGTATCTACCATATTCACTTTAAAGTTAACCCATTTTTAAGCAGATAATACGTCACCACTTGAGCAGTGCTCAAAATAGTTTCAAACATTCCGTATTGTTTGTCTTATGATAAATAAGCATCGAATCTCAAAGGAGTCGAGAAACATTAAATTATCGAGGGCGTGGGTTCGAAACGCAGCTGGATTGTCTGATTTTTAAATTACATAGAACTTTTGATGATATTATATAAGAGCAGAGCTGGTAAAAATAGAAGTAATCTTTAATTATAGAAGGCACTCTTTTTGCTCTTAACAAATTGTATAATAATACATCCCAGTTTTAGTCATTTTTCCAGGTTTCAAATAATCCTTTCTTCTTCTTCTTCTTTTAATTGAATATAATAATTTATTGATCGACAGTTGGTCCCCGCATGGTCTGATGGTTATGACCTTCGGCATTTGCGCCGAAAACAACGGTTTGATCCCTACTGCGGTTACCCCACAATAAGTTGTACTTTACTACTATAACTAAACAAAGACCTTGATTATCGATCATAGCTTCATAGCTTCATGTGTTACGACTTTCTTATAAGGTGTTATTGACTTGAGTAAACAACAACTTTTTTTTTCTTTTTCAATTTTGGACTTTTTATGTACACTGTAGTATCTATCGCGTTATCAAAGATATACGATTATAAAATTCGCTTCAGCGAAAATCGCTGCGAACTTTTTTCTTAATAGAACTTGATTTTAGATATATTTCACATTTTTATATACTTACGACCACATAAAACGATCCGAGCTTTGTGGCCGCATAAGACCGATCCAAACGATATCATTTACATCCAATTCTCTAAGGAGATCTCGGGTTGCATCAAATTGGAAGCTATTGTCAACTGCAAGGACAATAAAAAACAAAGTATAGATGACATATACAAGAAAAGTAATTCATTTAGTTTTTATATATGTCCGGTAATTAAAAATAGATAAAAAAAAAAAAAAACAGACACAGTGAGAAAATTATCTCTTAATGAGTCATTAATGTATTGTACACTTGCATAAGCAAACATCAAATCAGTCCTAAGCCTGAATGAAAAATGCATCGCCAATAATTGTAGAGAGAGACAAAACGCTACATAATCTCTAACTATGTAAAATGCGTTGGATACGTGTACAGGGCAAGATTTCACATAGAGTGCCTGAAATGCGGCCGTAAAGGAACTGGCATAACAAATATCTAATCAATGTATAATGAGCCATAGGTGCATAATCGTATCAAAGTTAAAATCGATCCGTTAAAATACTGAATTATTCGAGGAATGAGAACCGCTTTAATTGAGGAATTAAGGTAGATACGTTGAAGCTTGCATCACCCAATTGTACCCAACTGTGGATGTCTAGTAAATTAACGTAAGTAGCCTGCGTTCAAAATGAAACGAAATAATCACTTCAAGCAGCCAATCCGCCGCAGAAAATAAATACAGTAAATGAGTGGGTAATTTATTCTCATGTGAATCGAAGCAACTTAAACAAAAGCTTTACCATATTCGAAGAAGGATATTATTCGGCTGCGTGTGGGCTTAAATATAAAAATATTTTATAATTTTATGACAATGCGGTAAAAACTAAAAAAAAACTTTCACATGGTGATTAAATACAACTTTTGGAGAATTAAAGAAAACCAAAGTTGATTAAATGATGCCCTCATAAACCTTAAGAGCGATAGTCTTTATCGAAATTTAAACTTCATCGCGTAAGCCCAAGAACAATCAGGTCACAATCAAGTCGTTTATGTTGTTCGCAACACCAAAAACGATTGCAAAAAAAATCCATTCTATGATATTAGGTAATCCAAAATTGAGAAGCCTCGTTTAGCTATGACCGTAAGCATCTCATATGAAACTGTGTTTGCTATTTTGTGCAAAACACATTTATGTGCAAAAAAAAACCTTAATGCAAGATGTGTGTCGCGTTCGCCCACAACTGATCAATTATGGACTTGTTTGATCATTTCAATGAAGAATTTAGAGAAGAATTTATCTGAGTTTCTTCATCGTTACGCAACTAAGCGTGTAAGCATGGATTCGTGACTTCATCCCCTGCAATCACAATTTAGAATCGAAAGTATGGAAGTGCGCCAAAGCAGTCAAACAAAGGCAGCGAAAAAGGTTACGTGCTATGTGTTGCAGATTCTTTGATCTTTACCGCTTATCTCGAAAAAGAAGAAGATATGTATGTTAAGAAGTAACGCGTATAATATAATAAAATTTCTAAAACGATACATTGCCGGATTCTTGGATCGCTTGAATAAGAACATTCAGAGGATTGGCGAGTATATGAGAGAGAAAAAATCCTCTCCTGGCAGTATAATATATCGGATTATTCATCAAACATTGAAGAGAGCGTAAATATTTGTGTACTGGGATATGGGTTACTTTCGCATTCAGATCCGGTGTATCGGGCTAAACATATAATAAAATCCGGGTTTGCCTTCCTGAGTGGAAATATTATACGTAGGCTTTTTTTTTAGAAATGTGCAGGTTGGGAAACAACGCTTAGTACTCAGTAGTCGCACAGCGAAAGTATAACGAAATGAGCGACACAGGCAATTGGGCTTCTCATCGTTCTATATATGTATAGATAGCATATATTATCAATAGGTTGGGTCAACAAATTTAACGGTTATATGAACATCAGTGATGAGTTTAAAAAGAAAATTCTTTCTATAACCAAAAGGCCATTTACTGTTCATGAAGAGACGATGAGCTTTTTGAATACGTTCAAGCAAAAATTTGGGGAGCGTTAATGGATTGAATTGACAATCGATGCCTATTCATTTTCTCCATGTCAAATATGCAGGAATTCGCAAGGTGGGCATTGACCCTTCTATGATATATGTCTATGCCTTGAATTTGACAATGTTACCATATCGCATAAGGTGAACATAACATCGTTTAGCTGGCTATTATACGTAAGATAGTATTCATCTGCTGGTGGAATGTCATACCCAGGCATGTACACTAAGGAAATTCAAATTCAAATTTAAAGTGCAAACAGTTGAAGTCAAAGGCA